TTTAACTTTGACCATCACAAAGCCTGAAGAGCAATCACACCCACTTTTATTCCTTGTGGGGTGTGGCTCCGTGACTCAGCTCAATCTCTGGCCCTCCCACGCCTCTTTCGTTGCTGCGCACGCTTCTCCCTCCGACGCTGCCTGGGATCAAGCCAGGATTCATCAACCTCGCTCCCTATCTGTTGTTGTTCCGATATGCTTTCCTCCTGGCACATCCCAGGCTGTTCCTCCTGGCCTTCGGATGGAACCTGAGGCATTGCCAGAGAGGAGGGTCCTGGAGAGGGAGGCCTTGTCAGTTCCTCCCCATCACCTTCTGAGTCCTCTTCCTCTGTTAGGACAGGCTTGGGAGTCAGGGTCACAACAATCCTTGGTTAAACGGAGCTCTTTGGTCCAAAGGCCTGATGCGTCAATTTAGGGTGCAATCCCATTCAGCAAAGCATACGTTTTTTAAAAAAATCCCACGTAAGTATCAAGTGTGAACTTTGCAGAGTTTTAGAACTAAGGTAGCCAATTTTTTGATGAGAATGTGGGACCATCGCTAAATAAACCAGCTTCTGAACATATATAGAAAAGTGTGGTTTGACGTGCCTAGAAGAGAGAGAGAAAGGAGAGCTGTTGAGGTTCAGCTTGGATCCTTGGACAAGCCTCCAAGTGGCCTCAAGGACTCTCTAAAAGGATGCAAATGACCAGCTATCTGCAAGGAATATAAATCTTCCACTCAGAGCTAAAGAAGCTTCTTGGATGAGAAGTGAAACATCTTCAAAGAAAGTCCGGTTGCCTCTTAGAAAAAGCACTTTTGGGAGAACCATGACCTGGATGACTGAGAATCTCTGTAGACATGCAGACATAATCATTTTCTACTAGGTGAAGGAACTGTTTTGAAGGTGAACCTCAACATTTTCACCACATTCTTCTCTTCTGCATGCAGAAGAAGACTCATAATTTCCACATTTTAATAAATAAATATAAATTTAAATATATTTTAATTATTTGCTGTGGGAACAATATGGAACCGTGAATATCATATTTTATGGCCAGATTCTGTGACCATAAGACACATATATTGGATTTTTTTTTAATACTGAGATGGGAAGGCAAACATGAGTTTTAATTTACAAGGCGGGTAGAATATTCACTCATTTAACTCAAAGGGTATTTATTGATTTCTTTTCCTCCTGATTTGATATTTTCTGACATTTTATAACACTCAATAGCGATTTATATAAAAACCATGGCCTGCTTTATTCACCAGTCATTTGTAATTTTCTTTCCTAGTAAAAATAACAAGCATGTATATCCAATCCGTTAAGAACTTCAGACTTCATGCTCAAAGACGTTGGGAAGTAGAAGTGTGGAATTCAGAGAGAAGCTTAGACATTGTAGGCAGGGCAGAATCAAGACGAAAGGACAAATTATAGATGGGTGGATGGATGGATAGATGGAAGAAGGAAGGAAGATGAAAGAAATTAGGAAGGAAGGAAGAGAGAAAGGATGATGATAGAAAGGGAATTTAAGAAGGAAGGAAGTTAGGAAGGGAGGGAGGGAGGAAGGAAGATGAAAGAGAAGGAAGTTAGGAAGGGAGGGAGAGAGAGAGAAAGAGGGAGGAAGATGAAAGAGAAGGAAGTTAGGATGGAAGGAAGTTAGGAAGGGAGGGAGGAAGGAAGAAAGATGAAAGAGAAGGAAGTTAGGATGGAAGGAAGTTAGGAAGGAAGGAAGGAAGGAAGGAAGGAAGGAAGGAAGGAAGGAAGGTAGGTAGGTAGGTAGGATGGACCATATTGGTGATTGGCTCAAAGTCACCGAGCTAGCTTTCAAGGCTAAGGCAGGACTAGAACTCGCCGTCTCCTGGTGATTGGCCCAAAGTCACCCAGCCAGCTTTCAGGTCTAAGGCAGGACTAGAATTCACTGCCTCCCAGTTTCTAACCTGGTTCCTTAACCACACCCTTGGGTTTGGGCTTAGATTTAATTGCACCAGACAGGCTCACCAACAAGCTATCATTAGCAAAGGGTATCTTCAGATTAAACCAAGGGTTGAGATTGTTACATCATATTTTGGGATGCTAACTTTTGAACTTCCAACTTTAGAGAGCCTGGCAACGTTCACCTGTGTGCCATCATCAAAAAATATCTTTAGAATGGACCACTGAAGTTCATTCTCCTTTTCTCACCATTTCGATATGAGCTTCTTAACGGTTTTTCATGACAGCGCAAATGTATTCTGCATATGCTTTACATAATTATAGAAAACAACTGTTGAGCATCTCTATTTCTGCAGAGGTATGCATGCGTCTATTTGAGTGATGTATAAAATCTCTAACTAGACTTAGACTTGATTTTTAGCAATACTTTTAAAATATTTTTTAAAAATATCTTTTGCTTTGGGTTCTCACATTCCAAAAATAATTCTAACCTTCGAATGTGTAAAAAAAAGTACTCTGTTTTTTTTGTCAATAAATGTTTGCCGTCTTACTCCATCTGCAAAATCCTGTTGTTGGATGAGATACAAACACATAGGCACACCCTGATAATTAAATGGAAAGAGAAATAAAGTCCGCCAAATCATACATTTGAATAATTGCAGAAATTGATTCTCATAAACACCGTTTTCTTTTATTTAGTCAGCCTAGTTTAGTAAAAACACAGTACTGTCAGGCGCATAGGATCAGGGCCATTCATAAGGTGGTAATATCGAAGTTTTTTTTCCCAAGAATCTGTCAACAAAAGTTCAACATTGGCACCAGGGTCAACGGAACTCAGAAAGAGTTGGAGCACTTTGTGGACACACAAGGATGCTAAACTGATGATGCGTTTAATTCTGCCCTCCCAGCTCTGTCTTGCTGTTCTCCAGCAAGTACTCTAGAGTTGAGTGCAGCTTTACCATTGAGTGTAGATGTCTGCCAAGGTGCTACAGATCATGAATATTCTTCAATGGGCCATACAGTTACAAGTATCTGAAGTTCACTCATTTTATTTCAGAATGTACATGGTCTTATCTAATTGCATTGTACATTGCATAATCTAATATGCAACCTTAGCATTCAATCAATGCTTTCCAGCATTGGTGATTTCCAGGTATGTAACTTCAATTCCAATGTGATAGATGGTATATATTTGTATAGCAAAAAAGAATTGTATTTATTGCAAGGTAAAACTTGACGGAAATGTCTAAACCAGAAAAGTCACACCGTGTCCGATGTTTTTAATTGTATTATTAATAAAAAACTTTTTTAAAAAAACAAAAGAAACACCAAGTGTAAACTCTGAAGATAGAAGAAGGCATTGCAACATCCTTGTAAACGGCAGATCATCAATTTATTTGTTTTTTTTTAAAAAAAATCTCATGAACTTGGCAATGTACCTCAGACTGGGCCAGTGTACTTTCTTCCTCTTTTCCCTTCCTATATTAGCTCACCATGTGGTTGAATTTAGCTGGATTTTTTTTAAAAAAAAAATGTATAAATATCATGTCCCAGATTTCAGCAGGATAAATTTGGGTATTTTTTTTTTTCAAGAAGCTTTAAGATTGGCACTAAATTCACACTATAAGTGCGAGCAGCAGTCGTAAATCACAGTCGTTGTAACTTTTCAAGGTCACTAAATGAACTGTCATAAGCCGAGGACCACGTATGGCATGTAGCACTATGGCCTCTGAAATGGCCTCTGTTTAAAATGTTTCACCCTTTCCGGTATATACCATTGGGGGTGCTGGCTGCACTGAAGCTAATTCTTACACTGAGAGTTGCTTAGGAAAATTTCTGGAATGGTGAAAATTTGGGCAATTGCCTACCTGAGCATAATACATCTGTCTGTCTGTCTGTCTGTCTGTCTGTCTATCTATCTATCTATCTATCTATCTATCTATCTATCTATCTATCTATCTATCTATCTATCTATCATCACCTCTCTCTCTCTATCATCTCTCTCTCTATATATATCATCTACCTACCTACCTACCTACCTACCCATCCATCCATCCATCCATCTATCTATCATCTCTCTCTCTATCATCTATCTATCTACCTACCTACCTACCCATCCATCCATCCATCCATCCATCCATCCATCCATCCATCCATCATCTATCATCTCTCTCTCTATCATCTACAGTATCTACCTACCTACCTACCCATCCATCCATCCATCCATCCATCCATCCATCCATCCATCTATCTATCATCTCTCTCTCTATCATCTACAGTATCTACCTACCTACCTACCTACCTACCTACCTACCTACCTACCTACCCATCCATCCATCCATCCATCCATCCATCCATCCATCCATCCATCCATCATCTCTCTCTCTCTCTCTCTCTCTCCATCCATCCATCCATCTATCATTTATCATCTATCTACCAACTACCATCTCTCTCTCTCTCTCTCTCCCTGCTCCCCCCTCCCAATTTGCCCCAAATACCTACTCTTAATTTCTCTGCTGGGTGATGAGAACTGACTTTTCTATATTCAGCTCTCTCCTATATTGACTTTTTCTGTAGATGTGAAAAGAACTATTCCAGAAGTGGTTTCTCTATTTATAGATTCAATATTTATTTTTCTGGACACACACACACCCCTCCTTTCAAGTTCGGCTTCACAGACACATTCTCCAGGATTTTGGACCAGGAAAGCAGACGGGGGGGGGGATTTTTCCCTTCTCCTTTTCCTCCTCCTCCCTTCCCCTCTCCTCTTTGCATCTCCTCCTGGCTCTCGCCATAAAAAGCATTGTTCCCGGGGAACTCTGCAGCCAGACCTGGCGGCTGATGGGTTGGGAAGCATCCTTGGGGTTCGGTGCTCCTCGTTGGCTTCCCTCCCTTCAACCCCCCCGCCCCCCAAAGCAGACTGTGCATTTCAAACTCACCCCCCCACCTCTCATCACCCCCCACCCCCCAAAATACCACACACAGCAGCACCTGGCCGTCTTGTAGCATGACCTTTCCTTCATGACAAATTGCTCCGAAGTTGCCCTTGATGCTGAGAAGGCTTTTCTCCCGGAGAGACTGAAGGAGGGCATCGGCCAGTGGAAGAAGTTCCTCCGGCTGCAGCTGCTGTGGATGAAAGACCACCCATGGGGGAGAGTAAGGATTTCGAAGAGGACTGGATCAAACAGCTGCGAAGGGAATCTAGTTGGCAGGTTAGTCGCGATTCCCCCCCCTCCCAAGGTGTCTTTGCTGCTTTGGAAGCAGGATGCGGGGGGGGGGTGTGTAAGTGGGTGGGTGGGCAGCACCTCAACTTGGAGGTGGGCTGAGGGCGAAGGAAGCCTGGCATCCATCCCTGGGCATCTCAGCAGCTCCTGCAAAACTCAGTTTAATTTGTGTGTGGGGAGGGGGGAGGAATCCAGCGATCATCCTCGCTTTGCATTGTCTTCTTTTGAGTTGGAAATGTAGTGAGGAGGGGGAGGGGGGCTTGAATTAGACAGGGCTTTGCAAATCGGGAGACACGGTCTAAATTTACACTTCCCTTAATGATGGTAGTCACATTAACCAGCTGCAGGTGTGCAGTGCACTATTAAAGGAAACTGGATTGTCTCTCTCTCTCCCTCTTTCTCTCCCTCCCTCCCTCTCCCTCTTTCCCTCTTTCTCTCTTTCTCTCTCTCCTTCTCCTGCTCCATTTCTCTCTCCCCCCTCTCTCTCCCCCTCTGTCTCCCTCCCTCTCTCTCCCTCTTTCCCTCTTTCCCTCTTTCTCTCTGTTTCTCTCTTTCTCCATCTCTCTCTCCCCCCTTTTTTCTCTTTCTCTCTCTCTTTCTCTCTCTCTCCTTCTCCTGCTCCATCTCTCTCTCCCTCTTTCCCTCCCCCTCTCTTTCTCTCTCTCTTTCTCTCCCTCCTTCTGCTGCTCCATTTCTCTCTACCTCTTTCCCTCCCCCTCTCTTTCTCTCTCTTTCCCTTCCCTTCTCTTTCCCCCCTCTCTTTCTCTCTCCTTCTCCTGCTCCATCTCTCTCTCCCTCTTTCCCTCCCCCTCTCTTTCTCTCTCTCTTTCTCTCTCTCTCTCTCTCCTTCTCCTGCTCCATCTCTCTCTCCCTCTTTCCCTCCCCCTCTCTTTCTCTCTCTTTCCCTTCCCTTCTCTTTCCCCACTCTCTTTCTCTCTCCTTCTCCTGCTCCATCTCTCTCTACCTCTTTCTCTCCCCCTCTCTTTCTCTCTCTCTTTCTCTCTCTCCTTCTGCTGTTCCATTTCTCTCTCTCCCTCTCTCCCTCTCCCTCTTTCTCTATCCCTCTTTCCCTCCCCCCTCTCTTTCCCTCTCTCCTTCTCCTACTCCATCTCTTTCTCTTTCTCTCCCCCCTCTCTCTCTTTCTCTCTCTCCTCCTCCTGCTCATCTCTCTCTCCCCCTCTTTCCCTCCCCCCTCTTTCCCTCTCTCCTTCTCCTACTCCATCTCTCTCTCTCTCTCTCCAAATCCAAGTTTAATTCGTAATTGCAAGAGGAGGAGGCACCCGTCAATCTTCTACTTTTATATCAAGCATGCGTGCTGTGTCGTTTTAACTTTAACTTAATGATGTGATTCCTTTTCTTAAAACAAAACCAAAAATAAAATAAAAATAAAAATGCATGGCTTATGCATTATCCCAGAGTAATGCTGGATTAGTCCAGAGTAGACATGCTTTGGCATTCTTAAGGCTAAAAAGGTAGTTTCAGTTAACGGCAAGGGTGATTTTTGATATTCTGGCAATACCTGGTTCATTTTGCTTTTCTTTCTTTTTCCTTTTTGGAAATTACTTGTTTCCATTTCATAGAGGAATCTCTCCACCGGGCTTGGATTGCTCTGTACATAGCATCTTATATAAAGCCTCTGCCCTTTTCTTCTCTCTTCTGCTGCATTTTAATTAAACCCTCCCCAATGCTGGAAAGAGAAGTCATATTATGGGTTTCTTCCTTCTTTGGTCCTCCACTTGAGCTTGCTATGGTCCACCCTTTCCAATAAGGCTAATTGGATGACTTTCCATCACGGGGAAACTGCTTCAAAGTCTACAAGGCTAAGAAAAATAGCCCTCTCCCCCAATTCCACCAAATATCTTCTTCCCTACCAAAAATGAGAAAAATCAGAAAATGCCAGATTCTCCTTCATTTGGCAGTGAGGAAGAGACCTGTAAGAATCACCTGTGTGACTACAGCCTGATCTTCATTAGCTTGGGAGACATCTGACTTTGGAGTGAGGGAGGAGAACCCAGTCAAGTTTTCTTACTTTATTTTTAAGGGTAGGTGGGAAGTATGTGGTAGATTTGAATCACTCTTCGCTTTGAGCCTCACACGCTGAATAATTAGGATTTGATTTTGCAATATGCTCAAGTTGGGTTTTGGGGTTTTTTCCCCCGTCCCCCAGCCTGCTCCATCTCACAAATGAAAAAGGACGTGGCAGTTGGATCATTATTGACGGAATAATTTAAATTTGAACCGATAGAAAAGAGGTAAAGAAAAGCTAAGCTGCATTCTGGAATTAATCGAGGCTCAAACCCCATTCGGAATTTCTCTTCTGAATGGGGTTTGACCAGGGGTGGAGATTTTGAGTAGTTTGGAGAACCGGCAAATGTCACTTCTGGCTGGCCCCAGAGTGGGGTGGGAATGGAGATTTTGCAATATCCTTCCCCTGGAGTGAGGAGGGAATGGAGATTTTGCAATATCCTTCCCCCAGGAGTGGGGAGAGAATGGGGATTTTGCAGTATCCTTTCCCTGGAGTGAGGTGGAAACGGGGATTTTGTAGTATCCTTCCTCTGGAGTGGGGTGGGAATGGAGATTTTGCAATATCCTTCCCCCAGGAGTGGGGAGAGAATGGGGATTTTGCAATATCCTTCCCCTGGAGTGGGGTGGGAATGGAGATTTTGCAATATCTTTCCCCCAGGGGTGGGGAGAGAATGGGGATTTTGCAATATCCTTCCCCTGGAGTGAGGTGGAAACGGGGATTTTGTAGTATCCTTCCCCTGGAGTGGGGTGGGAATGGAGATTTTGCAGTATCCTTCCCCTGCCATGACTACCAAGCCATGCCCACAGAACCGGTACTTAAAAAAAATTTGAATTTCACCACTGAAAGGACTGCATTGCATATGCATTGTATAGATCGCTTGGAGGTGGGAAATACTTCCAGTGTAATCTCCTGGATCCCCTGCATGGATTAAACCACCAGATTACAAGAACACAAGCGAGCAGTAAGACGAGGAGACCCAAACTCATTGGTGGCCTCACACTTCAATGAAGAAGGACACACATTCTATTTTGCAGCTACTCAGATTGTTGGCCGAGCAGGGACAAAAACAGCCAGGGAAGTGATTGAAGCCCGGGAAACAGGCTGCTCGTCAGTCAACAGGAGTGCTGATTTACCATCAATTGATCAATTATTTAGAAGATGAGGGCTGGGCAGCACGAACAAATGACAACCAAGGATTTAAAGCCAGCCATCAACACACCCCAGTCAACATCTAAAAAGCCACACACAACCAGGCACTATAACTACCACACACAGAACAACACACAGTCAGCTAGAGAGTACTTACTTGAGGATGGGCTCCAGCATGAGCTCGGAAGACAAAAATCTCTGGTCCAAAGATTGGATTTTTCAATATTATCCTGGGATGCGTAGATTTGCCTTCATCTACGGGACCTCCTGCTACCACCAATAGCCTCCCACAGGCCAGTACGCTCCCATAGAGAGGGGCTCCTCCGGGTGCCGTCGGCCAAACAATGTCGACTGGCGGCCCCCAGGGGGAGAGCCTTCTCTGTGGGGGCACCTACGATCTGGAACGAGCTCCCCCCCGGAGATACGGAGGATCCCGGATCCGCACACCTTCCATCGCACGCTTAAGACTTTCCTATTCCATCAAGCTGGCCTGGCCTAAATCTTCTCTCCTTTTTAAATGTAAATGTTAATTTGTTTTTAAATGATGGGGTATTTTAAATTTGTTCAGCCAAATTATTTAATTCGTTTTTAATCTATTTTAAATTTTTGTATTTATGTGTTTTATCTTGTGGCTGTTCACCGCCCTGAGTCCTTCGGGAGAAGGGCGGTATAGAAATTTAATAACATAAATAAATAAATAATTTTGTGAGTTGGGAAGAATCTTAAAAGAGTTTTCCTAATCTGATCACTTCTCAGTGGATATGATCCACTGGGTCATCCCTGAGAGACATTTCTGCTTGAATTCCTTTGGGATCCCGCTGTTCCTCTAATTGTTAGCTATCAATAGATCCACGCGAACACTAGATTTGGATTTTTATTGGAACCATCTCAGTAGGACTACCAGTTCTGGTTGCAATAATCTATTGGGGTGATCCCTAGCGGCAGCAAGGTTTAGCGTTTTTCTGTATTTGGGGGTTGCCTGGATTTTTGTCCCCTGGATCTGATAGCTGGCCTAAGGATCAGATGATCATGGAACCATACCAGATCTTTCCAGAAATCAGCCCATCAACACAGAGAAATGCATTCTCAGGTGTTTCTTGTTAGAAGAGTGGTGTAGTGGCGTAGAGGTGGAGCTCTCGCCTCACAATCAGGAGGCTGTGAGTTCAATCCTAGGTAGAGGCAGATATTTCTCTCTCTGGGCACCGTGAGAATATTATCTGCTGGACAAAACTCCACACTGGCGACAGGAAAGGCATCCGGCCATTAAAACACTGTGCTAACTCCATTCAGTGGCCAGACTCCATCCCGCAAGGGATTGTGGGGTGATTAAAAGAAGATGATGATGATGATGATGTTTCTTGTTAGAAGGTCACAAAAGATGATCGTGTGACCTTGGGACACTGCAACCCGTCATAAGTACAAGATGGTTGCCAAGTGTCTGGATTTTGACCACGTGATCCTGGAGATTGTGCAGCGGTTGTAAAGAGGAAAAATGTTCCGAAGTCTCCTTTTTTTCCAGTCCCGTTGTAACTTTGCACGGTCACTAAATGAACTGTTGAAAGTCGAGGACTATCCATGTCTTCTTTTCCTCCACGGATGGAGATTCGTGCCATGACTTGTTCTAATCACTGGCAAATGGCCTTTTTTTTATTTTGCCTTGGGTTGCCCCCCCTCCCCCCCCCCAGGAACCATAGAATTATCTCTACATTTTGAGAATGCTGGGAATGAAAAGTTTTTTTTCCCCCTCTGTGTACAGGAATGTGTAGAAAAGTCCAGGTGTTTGCGTCAAGATCTTTTATCCGGCATCTCTAGT